GCTAGCGGTGCCCCGACCCTCCTATACAACTCTTCCCTTGCCCGCGCAGGTGATGAAGGACGACCTGGACGCGCACGCCCGCCCCGTGTCGGCGTGCCTGGACCAGGTGCGCCTCATCGTGTCGACCGGCGGCGAGCTGCTGTCGAGCGTGGAGGTGGCCTCGCTGGAGAAGAACGGCAAGGGGCTGCGCACGCGCTTCGACCGCGCGCACAACCGCACCGACCTGCTGCTGCGCCGCCTGGCCGCCGCGCGCGACGAGCTCACCAAGTTCCGCGGCGAGATGATGCAGTTCGTGTCGTGGCTCGACAAGGCCCGCCGCACGCTCGAGGACAAGGAGCGCTCGCTGTCCAACCTCAACCGCCTGACGAGCGGCGCCGACTCGACGCGCGAGTTTGTCAGCGACGTCATCTCCCACCAGGCCGACCTGCGCTTCCTCACCATGGCGGCGCAGAAGTTCGTCGACGAGTCCAAGGAGTACCTGACCGTGCTCAACGAGTTCCGCACGAGCCTGCCGCAGCGCTTGCCGCACGTCGAGGCCATCTCGGCGCAGGATTCGGTGGTGCGCAACGAGGTGTCCGTGGTCACGGCACAGTACAAGGACCTGCTGAACCGCTGCAACGCGCTCACCGACCGCCTGTCGGGCGTGGGCGGGCGCCAGCGCGAGTACCGCAACGCCGTGGACAAGGCGCGCGCCTGGCTCAAGGAGGTGGAGCCCCGCGCTCACAAGATCATCGCCGAGCCCATCGGCGCGGACCCCAAGACCGTGGAGGACCAGCTGTACCGCGCCAAGCAGCTCAACAACGAGTTTGTCGCCAACGCCCGCCTCATCGACAACGCCCGGCAGGCACTGGCCGCGCTACTGCGCTCCCTGGACGGACAGCTCACGCCGGCCGAGGCCCGCGACCTCGAGCAGCCTGTGCAGGAGATCGAGGCCAAGTACAACCAGCTGGCCGAGGCGCTGGCCGACAAGTGCGCCGCGCTGGACACGGCGCTGACGCAGAGCCAGGGCGTGCAGGACGCGCTCGACGGCCTGGTCGGCTGGCTCAACAGCTCCGACAACCAGCTCAAGACGCAGTGGCGGCCCGCCAGCCTCATCAAGGAGCGCCTGGAGGAGCAGATCCGCGAGCACCGCCTGCTGCAGGCCGAGATCGACAGCCACAAGGCGAGCGTGGAGAGCGTGGCGCGATCGGCGCAGGAGCTCGTCAACACGGCCAGCAACTCGCGCCTCGCCAAGAAGATCGAGACCAAGCTGCACGACGTGACCTCTCGCTTCGACAAGCTGCTCGACAAGGTGGCCAAGCGCGGCGAGTTCCTCGACGAGGTGATGGCCGCGCTCATGACCTTCTCGAACCAGGCCACGCTGCTCGAGCGCTGGCTGTCGGAGATGCTGGAGGTGCTGGACTCGCGCGAGCTGCCCGAGGTGGCTGCCCGCCTCGAGGACCTGGCCGCCAAGCGCGACGCCAAGCGTGAACCCTTCGACGAGATGATCCGCAACGGCCGCAACCTGGTCGGCCAGAAGGACGTGACGGACACCGGGCCGGTGCGCGACCGCATCAAGGCGCTGGAGAGCCAGTGGAAGGAGCTCAACAGCCTGCTGGACGAGAAGACGCGCCTGAGCCGCGCGCGCGCCGAGCAGCTCTCGGCCTACGACCGCCTGCGCGACCAGGTGCTCGAGTGGCTGTCCAACATGGAGAACCGGCTGACCAGGCTGGAGGCCATCGCGTTGGACGCCGAGTACCTCAAGAAGCAGTCCGAGGAGATCAAGGTGAGTCGCCGTGACTGGGCCTCGGGCGGCGAGGGGCCCCTTACGAGCGCAGGCTAGGCCGCCGAGCGTGGCACAGGTGTGCTGCGGCACGGCCTACCCCGCCGGGGGCTATCCCGTGCTCTCACTTGGTTTTGCCTTTATGCATCAGTCCTTTTGATGTCAACCACCTTTTCAATTCCAGCCTCTGGTGAAGGAACACCGCGACTATGTCAGCATCATCGACAAGGTGAACGACCTTGGCAACGCGTACGACGCGCTGACCCAGGGCGGTCGCCCAGACTCTCCCGCTCGCCGGCGCTCAGGCGCATACAGCCCCACCAAACGCCTATCGTCCACCGCCAGCCCAAGTGAGTGCAGTTACAATACCCTATAATAGCGGGGACTTATACTATTTTATCTTGGTTACTGCTACCACTCTTCTTGGCGTTTCGGAACATTTTATCGATCTCGAAAATGTCAGTCACTGTCGAAAAGCTAGAGTCAATCTCCGCGTCTTCGAGCTTTAAAATGCTGCCGTTATTTTATGAAACATGCCTTTCCACTCTTACATCTTACTTAGAGATCCTCTTAGTCCTCTTAGTCGTAGGGCCTCTGCGAGGCTGGGCACTTTTTCTTGCTCCTCCTCTTCCGCTCACCACTGTGCTCTCCACTCTCTTTCTCACGCACGTCGCACGCTGCAGTCGGACGGCGCTCGTCCCAGGATGTGCTGCTTACGAGCCCCGTGTCGCCAGGTGGGTCGAGCGGCTTCAGCAGCCGACGCTCGTCCCAGGACGGCGGCTTCCACCTGGACGAGGTGTCGCCCGTGCAGCAGCAGCTCACCGAGATCAACAACCGCTACTCGCTGGTCGGCGTGCGCCTCGGCGACCGCCAGAGCGAGCTGGACTCCCTGCGCGAGGAGGTGCGCAAGATCCTGGAGAACCTGCGGACGCTGTCCGTGTTCCTGGACAAGGTGCAGCGCGCCCTGCCCAAGGAGAGCGTGCCCCAGACCAAGGAGGAGGCCGACAAGATGACCCGCCAGATCAAGGTGAGTGCCGGGTCGGGACCTGAGGCCGCAGGAGCAGAGGGTTTGCAGGGTTCTAACGCACCGCCTGTCCCGCAGACCGTGCTCGAGGACATGTACGAGAAGCAGTCGCTGCTGGACGGCACGCGCGGTGCGGTGCAGGACCTGCTCCGCCGCAAGCCGGGCGCGCGCGGCGCCGACACGCTGCACGACGAGATGGCCGAGGTGGCGTCGCGCTGGCGCGCGCTCCACGACCTGTGCAAGGCGCGCATCAAGCTCATGGAGGACATGAAGGATTTCCACGACACGCACGACTCGCTGAGCGGCTGGCTGGCCGCCAAGGACCGCATGCTCACCGTGCTGGGCCCCATCTCGTCGGACCCGCGCATGGTGCAGAGCCAGGTGCAGCAGGTGCAGGTGCTGCGCGAGGAGTTCCGCACGCAGCAGCCGCAGCTCAACCACCTGCTCGAGGTGGGCGACTCGGTGCTCTCGCACGTGGACCGCAACTCGGGCGACGGCCAGCGCATCGCCGGCAAGGTGGACAACATCCAGCAGCGCTGGAACGACCTGCTCGGCCGCCTGGAGGAGCGCGCCGACAGTCTGGGCGCCGCGGCCGACACGAGCAGGGAGTTCGACGCGCAGCTCACGCGACTCAGGGACGCCCTGCAGGGCATCAGCGACGCACTGGACGACCTGCCCCTCGACAAGGACCCAGAAGAGCAGCTTCGCAAAATCGAGGTTAGTTAATTGTGGCTGTAGCATGTAGCGTTGCATTTCATCTTCACCAATCGCAGTCAAAGATCACCCAGAAAGTACGTCCTTACGAACTACCACGTTCAACCGATACAAGCTCCCATAGCGCCTAGTCGGTAGGCAACATCTCGCCTGCAGTGCATGCGTGTACTGCGGGTTGGCCTACCCCGAATCTCACAGGCGTCGAGCTCCAGTCATATCACCAGTGAATTAGGGAAAAGCATACGTATTTTCTGGACGATCCCTTAAGGTTTTAAAACCACTGGAAAGTTTAGATGTTACCCAAAGAATTTAATTTAGTCTTAAATGGGACGTCCCGTACCACATTTACAACTCTATTCCTCCCGTTGCAGAACTTGGAGCGCCAGCTGGAGGGCCAGCGGCCGCTGCTCGCTGACGTGGAGGCGGCCGGTGCGCAGCTGTGCGAGGTGCTGACAGACCCGGCGTCGCGCGCCGACATCCAGGCCAAGCTGGCCGCTGTGGTGCGCCAGTACAACACGCTGCAGAAGAAGCTGGACAACCGCAAGGCGGAGATCGAGGGCTCGCTCCGGGACAACCGACAGTTCGAGCAGTCGTGCGCCCGCACCCTGGGCTGGCTGTCGGACGAGCTGGGCAGCCTGTCGGAACGCCTGCTGGTGTCGGCGGACCGCGAGGTGCTGCAGGAGCAGCTGGAGAAGCACGAGCCCATCTACAAGTCGGTGCTGAACCGTGAGCACGAGGTCATCATGCTGCTCAACAAGGGCAGGGACATGCAGGCGCGCGCCGGGCCGCGGGGTGACTCGCGCAACCTGGGCCGCGACCTGGACAAGATCCAGCAGGCGTGGGACAAGCTGCGCAAGGACGTGATGGAGAGGCACACGCGCCTGCAGATGTGCATGGAGCACTGCAGGAAGTACTACCGCGCGCAGGAGCAGTTCCTGCCGTGGCTGGCGCAGGCCGAGGACAAGCTCGAGTCCCTGCAGCCCGCGAGCTTCAAGCGCAAGGACATCGAGCGGCAGCTCAAGGAGCTGGCCGCCTTCCGCAACGACGTCTGGAAGCGTTCCGGCGAGTATGAGAACAACCGCATGCTGGCCGAGACGTTCCTGAGCGCCTGCGACATTGACAAGGACATCGTCAAGAACGAGCTGACTCACTTGAAGCAGCGTTGGGACCGCCTCAACAACGGACTCCTGGAGAGGACGCAGGCCCTGGAGGAGACGGCGCGCCGCCTGGGAGACTTCGGCGAGAACCTGCGCGACCTGTCGCACGCCGTGCAGCGCTGCGAGGACCGCCTGGCGTCTCACGACGCGATGGGAGGTGCGGCCAGGGACCCCAAGATGTTGGACAGAATCCGCGCTCTCCGCGAGGAGACCGGCAACCTCAAGAAGCCGCTGCAGGGACTGCGCCAGGCCGCCGGAGACCTTGTCAAGGAGGCTGGCGAACACGGTGTGGACGCCCATCACCTGCAAGAAGAGGTGGACGGTGTCGGCGACCGCATCGATGAACTCTGTGCCAAGCTGGACGACCGTTGCAGCCAGCTACAGTCCGCGGCCACGGCCGTCACTCAGTTCAACGAGCAGGTCAAGGCCTTGGGCCAGGATCTGACGGGCCTGGAGAACGAGCTGGACGCCATGAAGCCGCCCGGCAGGGAGATCAAGGTGGTGCGAACCCAGCTGGAGGACGTTGCGCGCTTCCTGAAGAAGGTCAGCCGTGCCGCAGACGACGTGGCCCGCGCCGTGCAGTCCGGCGAACACCTGGTGGACTCGGGCTTCGCCCCGGACACCGTGGCTACCCGCGAACAGGTCGAGTCGCTGCGCAGGCAGCTCGGCCGCCTGGACGAGCGCGCACGCAACCGTGAGGAGGACTTGGACCAGGCGCTCGGCCGCCTCGAGTCGTTCTACCAGCAGTACAACGTGGTCCTGGAGGACATCTCGCGCGCCGCCGACCAGGTGCGCAAGCTCAAGCCCATCGGCTCCGACTTGGACAGCATCAAGGCCCAGCAGGAGGAGTTCCGCCACTTCCGTCGCGCCACCATCGAGCCGCTCGGCTCCACTGTGGGAGACACCAACCGCGCTGGCCAGGGGCTGGTCCAGAGCGCGGCGGGCGGCGTGAGCACTGTGCAGCTGGAGAAGGACCTGGAGAAGCTCAACGACCGCTGGAACGACCTGAAGGAGAAGATGAACGAACGCGACCGCAAGCTAGACGTCGGACTTCTGCAGTCCGGCAAGTTCCAGGAGGCGCTGGACGGGCTCAGCAAGTGGCTGTCCGAGACGGAGGAGATGGTGGCCAAGCAGAAGCCGCCGTCAGCCGACTACAAGGTGGTCAAGGCCCAACTGCAGGAACAGAAGTTCCTCAAGAAGATGTTGCTCGACCGACAGAACTCGATGTCGTCGCTCTTCGCCATGGGCAACGAGGTGGCCGCCAACGCGGACCCGGCCGAACGTAAGGCCATCGAGCGCCAACTCAAGGACCTGATGGGCCGCTTCGACCGGCTCACAGAGGGCGCGCAGCAGCGCATGGAGGCGCTGGAAATGGCCATGGCCGTGGCCAAGCAGTTCCAGGACAAGCTCGTCCCCATCGTGGAGTGGCTGGACAAGACGGAGCGCAAGGTCAAGGACCTGGAGCTGGTGCCCACCGATGAGGAGAAGATCCAACAGAAGATCCGCGAGCACGACGCGCTGCACAAGGAGATCATTCGCAAGAAGGCGGCATTCACCGAACTCACCGAGGTGGCCAGCACCCTCATGGAGCTGGTCGGCGAGGACGAGGCGGCTGGTCTGGCCGACAAACTGACGGAGACCACGGACCGCTACACCGTCCTGGTCGAGGCGTCCGAAGCCGTAGGCGCACTACTACAGCAGTCCCGACAGGGTCTGCGACACCTGGTGCTCACCTACCAGGACCTGCAGGCCTGGATGGAGAAGATGGAGCAGCAGCTCAACAAGCACCGCGTGCTCGCCGTGCACACCGACAAGCTGCTGCAGCAGATGGACGACCTGGCCGACCTCACGGAGGAGATCTCCAACAAGCAGACGGCCGTGGACGGCACCCTGGATAGCGGCATGGAACTCATGAAGCACATCTCTAACGACGAGGCCATCCAACTCAAGGACAAGCTGGACTCGCTGCAGCGCCGCTACAACGACCTGACATCGCGTGGCGCCGACCTGCTCAAGCACGCCCAGGAGGCCCTGCCCCTGGTGCAGCAGTTCCACAACTGCCACACCAAGCTGGTGGACTGGATGATGGGCGCCGAGGCCACGCTGCAGCAGGCCGATCCCCGCGAGGAGGACATCCACCGCCTCGAATTGGACCTGCAGGAGTTCCGGCCGGTGCTGGACGCCATCAACCAGGTCGGGCCGCGCCTCTGCCAGATGTCACCCGGCGAGGGCGCCTCTACCATCGAGGGCCTCATGACACGCGACAACAGGCGCTTCGACGCCATCGCCGAGCAGATCCAGCGCAAGGCGGAGCGCATCCAGCTCTCCAAGCAGCGCTCACTGGAGGTGATCGGCGACATCGACGAGCTCCTCGACTGGTTCCGCGAGGTGGAGAACCAAATCCGGGAGGCCGAGCCACCAAGCTCGGACCCGGAAGTGATCCGCGTGCAGCTCAAGGAGCACAAGGCGCTCAACGACGACATCTCGAGCCAGAAGGGACGCGTGCGCGACGTGCTGTCCACGGCCAAGAAGGTGTTGCGCGAGTCTGCGCAGCAGGAAGACACGGCCACCATCCGGGAGAAGATGGAGGACCTGCGCGAGACGATGGAGGTGGTGTCCGGGCTGAGCGCGGACCGCCTCGGCATCCTGGAGCAGGCCCTGCCGCTCGCCCAGCACTTCCTGGAGACCCACGCCACGCTGGTCAGCTGGCTCACCGACATGGAGAGGCAGGTGGCCATGCTCGCCATGCCCGCGCTCCGCCCCGACCTGATCGCGCAGCAGCAGGACCGCAACGAGATGTTCCTGCAGTCCCTCAACGAGCACAAGCCGCTGCTCGACAAGCTCAACAAGACTGGCGAGGCGCTCATCAGCCTGGTCAACGACGAGGAGGGCTCCAAGGTGCAGGACGTGATGGACGGCGACAACGCGCGCTTCAACGCCCTGCGCGTCGACCTGCGCACGCGCCAGCAGGCCCTGGAGAAGGCCCTGCAGGAGTCGAGCCAGTTCGCCGACAAGCTGGAGGGCATGCTGAGGGCGCTCACCAACACCGCGGACCAGGTCAACAACATGGAGCCCGTGTCGGCTCATCCGCCCAAGATCCACGACCAGATCGACGACAACAACGCCATCGTCGAGGACCTGGATAAGCGCCAGGAGGCCTACGATGCGGTGAAGCGCGCCGCCACGGACGTCATCAACAAGGCCGTCAACAAGTCGGACCCCGCCGTCAACGACATCAGAAGGAAGCTGGAGCGCCTCAACAGCCTGTGGAATGATGTGCAGAAGGCGACCAACGACCGCGGCAAGTCTCTGGACGAGGCGCTGCGCGTGGCCCAGAAGTTCTGGGATCAGCTGCACGCCGTCATGGCCACTCTGCGCGACCTGCAGGACACCCTGCAGTCGCAGGAGCCGCCCGCCGTCGAGCCTTCAGTCATCAAGCAGCAGCAGAGCGCGCTGCAGGAGATCAGGCACGACATCGACCAGACCAAGCCAGAGGTGGACCTCTGCCGCCAGACGGGCCAGAAGCTGATGAAGATTTGCGGCGAGCCCGACAAACCCGAGGTGAAGAAGAACATCGAGGACCTGGATAGCGCATGGGACAACATCACCGCCCTGTACGCACGTCGCGAGGAGAATCTCATCGACGCCATGGAGAAGGCCATGGAGTTCCACGAGACGCTGCAGAACCTCCTGGCCTTCCTGGACAAGGCAGAGGACAAGTTTGCGCGCATGGGCGCGCTTGGGTCGGACATCGACGCCGTCAAGAGGCAAATCAGTCAGCTCAAGGACTTCAAGCACGAGGTGGACCCCCACATGGTCAAGGTGGAGGCACTCAACAGGTGAGTAACGGGGCGGAACGAAGAGTATTTCCCTCGCACCTTCTTCTCATGTTACTAATCACTTCGCCCCTGAAAATATAGGCAGCTCGCTCTCTCACTAACTCATTCCCTTCTTTCCTTATCTCACCTGTTCCTATGCAATCCTCAGGAGTTTACGAAGGCAAGTTTTCCTTTTCTTGGAGTGTGTTTGGCCGTAGCTTGATTTCTAGTTAGAATTGACTATTTAATGCATACAGTCCCCAAACATGACCTTGTTTTGGTTTTTTTACTTCCCCTGAAAATAATTTTATTGTCATCCCGTAATGCAGCCGTAGCTTTGACAATATCAACTCTGTTCCCGACCCCGCTTTTCTCTTTATTTTGTTGGCATTTATTCTTCGTCGTGCCTTGTTCCCCCATGCTGACTCGATCCCTTATCCCCGCAGGCAAGCTCAGGAGCTGACGGAGCGCACCTCGGCGGACCAGGCTCAGGCCATCAGGGAGCCGCTGGGCGCCGTGAACAGGCGTTGGGACGAGCTGCTGCGCGGCATGGTGGAGCGCCAACGGCAGTTGGAGAACGCGCTGCTGCGCCTCGGCCAGTTCCAGCACGCCCTGTCCGAGCTGCTGGCGTGGATCGATGGGACGGAGCGCACGTTGGACTCGGAACTCAAGCCGGTGCCGGGCGACCCCCAGCTGCTGGAGGTTGAACTGGCGAAGCTCAAGGTCCTCGTCAACGACATCCAGGCCCACCAGTCGTCCGTGGACACGCTCAACGACGCGGGCCGCCAGCTGATCGAGAGCGGCAAGGGCACCCTGGAGGCGTCCAGCACGCAGGAGAAGCTGTCGACGCTGAACCGGCGTTGGCGCGAGCTGCTGCAGAAGGCCGCGGACCGGCAGACGGAGCTCGAGGACGCCCTTCGGGAGGCGCAGCGGTACCACGCCGAGATCCAGGACCTGCTGTCGTGGCTCGGAGAGGTGGACGGCATCATCGCGGCGTCCAAGCCCGTGGGCGGGCTGCCCGAAACGGCCTCGGAGCAGCTGCAGCGCTTCATGGAGGTGTACAACGAGCTGGAGGAGAACAGACCCAAGGTGGAGTCTTGCCTGGCGCAAGGCCAGGAGTACCTCAAGAAGTCTTCCGACCGTCGCGCTTCCAACCTGGAGCACAACCTGCGCACGCTCAAGCAGCGCTGGGACTCGGTCACGGCGCGCGCCAACGACAAGAAGATCAAGCTGGAGATCGCGCTCAAGGAGGCCACCGAGTTCCACGACGCGCTGCAGGCTTTCGTGGACTGGCTGACGAACGCAGAGAAGGTCCTGAGCAACCTGAAGCCCGTGTCGCGCGTCATGGAGACCATCCTGCAACAGATCGAGGAGCACAAGGCCTTCCAGAAGGACGTGGGAGTGCACCGCGAGACCATGCTCAACCTGGACAAGAAGGGCACGCACCTCAAGTACTTCAGTCAGAAGCAGGACGTGATCCTCATCAAGAACCTTCTCATCAGCGTGCAGCACCGCTGGGAGCGTGTCGTGTCCAAGAGCGCCGAGCGCACGCGCGCCCTCGACCACGGCTACAAGGAGGCTAGGGAGTTCCACGACGCGTGGTCCAGCCTCATGTCGTGGCTGACGGAGACCGAGCAGGGACTCGAGGAGCTGCAGGTGGAGGAGGGCGTCGGAAACGATCCCGAGCGCATCAAGCAGCGCCTTGCCAAGCACCGCGAGTTCCAGCGTGCCCTCAGTGGCAAGCAGGCCACCTACGACGCGACCATGCGTGCCGGCAAGACGCTCAAGGACCGCGCGCCCAAGACGGACGAGACCGCCCTGCGCAACATGCTGACCCAGCTCAAGAACAAGTGGACCGCCGTCTGCGCCATGTCCGTCGACCGACAGCGCCGCCTCGAGGAAGCACTCTTGTACTGCGGACAGTTCAAGGACGCCGTCCAGGCGCTCATGGACTGGCTCTACAAGGTGGACAAGATCCTCAGCGAGGACGGCCCCGTGCACGGCGACCTGGACACGGTCATGGCGCTCGTCGAGCAGCACAAGCAGTTCGAGGAGGACCTCAGCAGCCGATCCGCCCAGGTGGAGTCTGTCAAGCGCACCGGCAAGGACCTCATGGACAAGGCGACGGCGGCGGACGCGGCGGCCATCAGGACGCAGCTCAGCGAGCTCACGTCGCTGTGGGACAAGGTAAGTACCGCACCGCGCGCCTGTGGGTAGGCCAGCCCGCCGCACGCGGCTGTCGTGCAGTACGGCCTACCCCCCGCTCGTAAGGGGCCCTCCCAGCTGCACGCCTAACGCCATGTTCCCTTCTGTCTTCCAGGTGAGCCGACTCTCGGACCGCAAGACGAAGCGGCTGGAGGACGCGCTCAAGGAGGCGGAGCAGCTGCACAAGGCCGTGCACATGCTGCTCGAGTGGCTGTCGGACGCCGAGATGAAGCTGCGCTTCGCTGGCACGCTGCCGGAGGACGAGCACGAGACGCGCGCCCAGCTGGCCGAGCACGAGAAGTTCATTCGCGAGCTGCGCGAGAAGGAGCGCGAGAAGGACTCGACCATTGCGCTGGCCCAACGCATCCTGGCCAAGGCGCACCCGGACGGCGCGACCGTCATCAAGCACTGGATCACCATCATCCAGTCCCGCTGGGAGGAGGTGTCCAGCTGGGCCAAGCAGCGCGAACAGCGCCTCAACGACCACCTGCGCTCCCTCCGCGACCTGGACTCGCTGCTGGAGGAGTTGCTGTCCTGGCTCCAGGGCCTGGAGAGCAACTTGCTGTCCCTGGAGGCCGAGCCCCTACCCGACGACCTGGGTACTCTTAGGCAGCTCATCCAGGAGCACCAGGAGTTCATGGAGAATACTGCCATGCGGCAAGGGGAGGTGGACGCCGTCTGCAAGAGCAGGCAGGTCGCCAAGGGCCCGGCTGCCAAAGATAAGGACAGGAGGCCGTCCAAGCCCAGGACCTCGCTGTCATCGTAAGTATTGTGTGTCTACTTGTTAGCAAAATGCGTAGCTCAGTCCGGCTTGGACTAGTTTGCACAGCTGTGTGAGAAAGCTTTGCTTTGGACTTTTTAGTAAATTTGTTTGTAGAGGACTGCATTCAAAATGAGTAGTAATTTTATTTTTTTTACTAGAAATTTTGATAGTTTGTGATTGTTTTCTGCAGTGTTCATTTCATGAATGGCGTGTGTGCGTGCGTGTGCGTTTGTAGTGATTTTGCTTTTCTAAGCCTGCTTTTGTTTTGTTCACTTTGCTCACTCTTGTGCCTGCCTGTTCCTGCTCACTGCCCAATCGCTCAAGTAGAAAGGACCTTGAGCGTGAATCATCCCCAGAATACGATGCCGCTGGCCGCAAGGGAAGGTAGGTCTTAGGCTTTTGCGCTTGCAGCATTGTCCACTATAGTTTTTGTTTAGCCATCACATCGTATCATGTTATTATTGCTAATTTACATGTTGCTTTTATTTTCATTATAAAGAAATTTAGCTCACATCACTTTCACATGTGATTCTTCTTTGCTTTGAGACTTCTTCAAGCTTCCCAAACAATATACTGCTTGGGAAAATACAAAAAGTGTCTCTATATTGAGACTTGACTCCTTTAATCTTTAAATATTCAAATCAAGATAAAGTAGTTGATGTGATTTAGTGATTTGCATTTGTTATTAATTGTGAATGATACCTGTCTAGTAGAATTGATCCTGTATGTTCCTATAGCAAGTTGAAGCATGATTTTATATTTCCTTGTTTCTTTTTTTTTTCTGCCCCTCTTCTGTGTGCTCCCTTACATCGTCGATAGTCGTGCCAGTCCTGGACGGGAGAAAACTCCAGATATTTATCCACACATTGGACCTCGATTCCCACCTAAAGGAAGGTCAGATATATTTCTTGTTATAATTTCAGCACATTTATTTTATTGCATCTAAAAAGAAATGTTATATGTTGCATGGCAATAGAAATGAATTTTAAGTAATTTAGGAGAAGTAGAATGAAAGTAGAAGCATTGTTCAAGTACTCTCTGTTTAATTCATTTTATTGACATGAATTACATTCAAAGACATTTCAAAGGAAATTTGTGTGTCTGTCCCTCCATTCATAATTTAACCCTCTAATTTTAAATTCCACAGCAAAGGAGCTGAGCCGCAGTTCCGCAGCCCGCGGGTGAAACTTCTGTGGGACAAATGGCGCAATGTCTGGATGCTCTCATGGGAACGTCAACGTCGCCTGCAAGAGAAGTACAACTACCTGCTTGAAATGGAGCGTGTTAAGAACTTTAGCTGGGATGATTGGAGACGGCGGGTATGTAACTTGTTAAGACTTTTCCAGAGTCTTCTCTCACTGACCATATTATATCCTTATATTATTCTTCATTATTTCCACTATTTCATTTCCAGTTCCTTAAGTTCATGAACCACAAGAAGTCGCGTCTTACTGACCTGTTCCGTAAGATGGACAAGAATAATGATGGTCTCATTCCTCGTGAAGACTTCATAGATGGCATCATTAAAACCAGTAAGTTAATTGCATTAATTATTTTAATTTTTGATTGTTCTGTACATTACTATATTTGTAACATTGATGGATTTTCTCTTTTATAGAATTTGATACTAGTCGACTTGAAATGAATGCTGTTGCTGACATGTTTGACCACAATAACGAAGGACTTATTGACTGGAAAGAGTTCATTGCAGCTCTTAGACCAGACTGGCAAGAGAAACAGCCATCCCCTGAGGCTGATAAGATTCATGATGAGGTCAAGAGGCTTGTGATGTTGTGTACCTGCCGACAGAAATTCCGTGTATTCCAAGTTGGAGAGGGAAAATACAGAGTAAGTCATAGAATTGTGAAAATTTGCAGTTTTATCTACCAATTGGATTTCTTTTTCTTACAAAATAATACTTTTCAGTTTGGTGACAGTCAAAAGCTCCGTTTGGTGCGAATTCTTCGGTCTACAGTGATGGTGCGAGTTGGTGGTGGATGGGTAGCTCTTGACGAATTCCTCATCAAGAATGATCCTTGCAGAGGTAAGACTTGTTTTCTTTTACTGACAGAATTTTTTAATCCAATTACGGTATTTATGATAAGAGTTTCAGTTGGTGCGTGCAGATGTAAAATTTACCTTAAAACCCAAATGAAGTCCCCTTTCTACTCCCCCCTCCCCCACTCTCTTAATTTTGGGTAGACAACTCACCTTTTAAAGTAAGACAAATCTACCATAACTGTCCCACTACCCCCAGACCCTCTTACATTTTTAGGAAGCTTTTTTAAAAATGAAGTTATGTTTGAGCCATTTCAACAAGCTGACAGAAGTTATTTGTGAAGCAACGTTACGTAATTCAGAGTTTCTCTACCTTTTAAATTCTTAATTTTTCTCTTTAAATAACCATTGGTAATGGTTGTAACAGAGCTTCCTGTGACTTCTATCAACTCTGTTTTTAATTATTTATGTTTTTTGCAGCTCTGAAACTAATTTGTTTTCTTTCTTATCTTTTGTGCCTCTCAATACATTTGGAATTTTGAGTCCTGGTTCTCTTTAGGTTTACAAGCAGCTTACTTGTCTCTTAAAATCGGGGTCAAGCTCTTCTAACCTTTTTCAGTTTGGTGCCCGGATTGCAGATTATATTTCTTGCCTCTTATGCCGAGATTAATATTATTATTGTTATTGTGCGCTCTGATTTTGTGTATCCCATTATAACTAAATGCCCAGTTCCATCAATTAACATGCTTAAAGGGTTTTGATTGATAAAGTATCATACTAAGCTTCATATATCCCACGTCATCAGTTCCATGCATAACAAATGACCCTGCTGGTGGTGATTACTTTTATCTATCTAAAAAATTTGATCAGGATTTGCTACATTCACATTTCTCTAGTTCAGACTAGCTTGAGCTGCTGCCATGTAGCTCCTGCTATACCCAGTGGTGTGCTTCAGTATGTGCTATTCTAGTTATTGATTACATTTCAATATCACATGCAATTTTTAAATTTCTAGCTCATTTTGGTGACAGAAAAATATTATAACACGATATTGAAGGTTTAAGAGAGAAATACTGTCACAAACATGCTCGAGGAAAAAGATTAGCATTAACCAAAATGAAATGAGCCATTCCAGAAGCACTTATTGTATTTAACAAACTATCTCATGCTATTAATTAGTTCAATAGCAGTCATGCTGTGTTAACCTTTTAGATTAGATTTTAGGATGCTATTCATATCACAGTATTCATAACATCTACATCAACCTCATCAGTGTTATCAAACAATGAACTAATGTTCTGTGGTGCAACCTGCTTGAGCTTGAGATTCCTCAACATACAATCATCAACCTTGCAGATATGTACTAACTTTGGTCTGTATTTCTGTCTCTTTTTTTAACTTTCCACTTTCCAATTCATCCCACCTCCTATCTTTTTTGCTAACTCACCTTGCTTTTTCATGTTAATGTTTCGTTGCATTTTTCTTGTATCCTTTGTTTATGTTTGTGTGCACTTGCTTTACTGGTGTAATTACTCAGTTGAGCTATATCTACCACTCCCTGACCCCAATAAACCTGAAGAGCATGATCCTTGGTGCCCTTTGGGCATCATTGAACGTGGTAAGGATGCCTTCTAGGTCCACTTAAGCGGTAGCTGTGTGCTTAGAAATTTTGTTTGTTACACTTGCCAGTGACATAGAAGTAGCATTCCTTTTCATGTCTGAAAGCATTGATGTGCTATTAGTTCAATCAAAAAAATATATAATAAATAGTAAAAATAGCGGATCAATGTAATTTCATTGCTTCAACTCTTGATTTGCTAGCATTTTAGCTTGAGCCAATGCTGTTCTTCCTTTCAAACTTGTCTGACTTTTCAAAATTTTGAAGGGATAAAAAATTACCTTGTTTTGGATGTGAGCGTTTTTGTCATATTTCCTTTTCTCTCTCATCATAAATGATTAATTGGAGAACATTTCTATCATAATAATCAGGATAAGATATAGAGAACACTTCTTTTCTCCCACAAGTCCATCTTACCTTCTTCATCTTTTACTGTACCAATTATCTAAGCTAAGAACTATGTAGCTTGATCTCTGTGTCTATGAATAATTGGCTCATATTGTTAATCACCCATCCAATAGTTTGAACCAATTTTTCATCTATTGCCTGTAGGCGAGTTAATGTAAAATGTGAGAATGCAAGTGTTTGACATATTAAGTCAGTAATTATTTTTTTAAATGATATCAAAATTGTGTCTATTAAACATCAATGGATGAACATATATTGGGTTTTTTAACTGACCTTATGACTAAGTCAATAAGAAATGTTGCATATCTTGCCTTTTACATTTTTAGCTTGAATAATTTGGCTGTATTTTGATGCACCTTGATGAGAAGACTGTTTGATCTATCAAAAATTTTGAGAGAACTGGAATGCATGTCTCTGTGCAAAGCTTAATACTTCATGCATTGCATTTTTGACTCTTCAAGTTTGAAAAAAATGTGTAATCTTTACAGATTGTCATGCTTTAAGTTAGAAATAAAAGTTGAAATTCACAAATATTTAGTTTCTTGACTCTAAGAAACAGTCTTCTCTGGCTTAATTAGTGCACTAAAAATGATTTGATTTGCTTTTTGGTAGCTCATGCACTGCTAATGTCCTGTGATTTCATCATTTTCTGTCAAAGAATGGTGGAGTCTTTCATGAGTTGTGTATGAGTTTATAGTGCTGTGTGTTGTATTACTTTAATGCAGTTTTTTTTTTAAAATAGCACTTTTGAGAGACTTTTGTTTGGTTTGTGCTTTTACTTATCTGTTTTTTGTTTGTTTTTTTGCTTCTTTTCCCCTTCCTTTATTTCTCTTTCTACCCTTATCTTTTCCATGATCCTGCCTCTTTCAATCCGCCTCTCACAACCCTCAACATCCCTGTTATCCCTGTTCCCTGCCTCCCCTCCTCCCTCTTCCGCTACCCCTCCTTTTTTGCCCTATTCTCAACTCACGCTATCACAAACACATTGGACCACTGCACGGATGCTGGATTTTTGGGAAATAGCCAAGGGACGCACCAACATCGAGCTACGAGAACAGTTCATCCTGGCTGATGGTGTGTCGCAAAGCATGTCTGCCTTCAAGCCCAAACACTCTTCGTCAAGCAGTCAGCGATCGGCTTCACTGTCCAGCGCTGGTCCAATCACCAAGGTTGGTCCCGTTCTACCTTCTCTGTCCTGTCTTTCCTTTCCTCTCCCTGTTGTTTCCTGCTCTATTCACTTGCATTCTCTTCACATGCCTATCTCATTGCTTTGTAGCTAGATTTCATTCTCAAAAATAAGTTTATTCTTTTTCTTCTTATCTCTTTCATTTTCCAATACCTTTTTTTCTTTATATTATTTAAGTAAGATACATAAATGGTGAAGGTGGACGTAAATATTCAGTGAAGTTAAATGAGACAGTGAGTCTAAATTACTTCCTGAATTATTGATGTAGGAAATGTGTTTACTCCAATTCGTTTTCAAAAATATATTACAATAATTCATAGAACTTCTATCTTTAACATTTTTGTCTGTGTAAAAGTAATCTTTAAAAATATTATATTGGTTGAAAATACATTTCCTATATGGCTGGCAATTTCAAAATACAAAAATTTGACCACAGTGAAAACTGCTATGGTCTCTTTCCAAGTAGAACTTGACTCCACTGCTTACTCTACCAGGAGTATTTGTTAGCCAGTGTGAGTTCCTTCAGATCTCTAAGGTTTGTACTTTTGCACTCAATGCTTCAAGCACTTTGGAACACTAGCAGCAAACAGGTTAGTACTAACAGCACTCCCGATCATAGAAGTAGACTAGAACAGACACGGCAATGTCGAAGTTATGTGCTTATAGCTGTTTTATGTAGAACTCCACCATTGGTTCTACTCATTCATACCATCATGGTAGACCTCATTACACATCACTATACTGACCAAAGCCTTGTGGTCTCCACACTTATGTTATAGTATAGTTGTTGCATAGTGGCTTTTAGTTATCCATGGAGGAGCACTTAGTAGCAACTACGTTTGTGCAAGAACATTTCCTTTTCGCATTTCATTCAAAGTTGCTGTTGGCTTGGAAATAAAATGTTTATTCCTGCTCATTGAGACTTTTAGTGATCCTGATCATGATCTTGATTATAAAATGTGTGGCTTATTAAATTAAGTTAGTGCAATTTATAATCACCAATATTTGTTGTGTGTGGTTCTTGTGTGTGGCAGTGTGTTAGTTCACCTGCTGAAAATGTTTTATTTTATGGTGCTTTCTCATGTAATGTTAATCCCTGTTAATATTTACTTTTGTCCAATCATACATTTTTTCATTTTTTAAAGATTTATTTATTTATGATTTTTTTATTATTATTGAAGTATTTACTTTTAAGCGTCATTTTGAGGTAAAGAATTTACTTTATAGGAATTGTAGCATTGCGGTTTCACAGTCACAGTATGGCATCTGAGGTCAGACCAACATGAAGACTTTTACCCAGTGAAAGACATTTATTTGAATACCCTTTCTTATTGTCATTCTGAGGCACAAAAGACTTAAAGAAAATTTAGGTAAAAGAATTTGTAGGTAGGCTAGAATTAGGTTTATGTATTGGACCCTTTTTCAGCGGAGGAATTCCTAAGTCAGCTGATGCCAATATTTGAGAGTCTTCGACAGAAGGAGGAAATTCCATGCTCATACCCATTGGCTATGGGCACTCGTTCCAGTGGGCCTACTTACCACTGGATAAATAGAACTCATTATCATGAGGCAAGTTTTGAAATCATAATGTGTACTTCAGACAGCTACACATGGTGTCTGAGTATATCCCTCTTTTATTTTTCCTGAGACTTCTGTTATGTTTGTTTGTTTGTTTGTTTTAGTTTGTTTTTGTTAAGTTTTCTTTTTTCTTTAGTTTGTTTTCCCTTACCCTTTTTAAAGCGCCACTCTCTAAGTTGAAGTGTTTGTAGCATGGTGTATGTTGTTTCCTTATTATTGTGTACTGTCCCAACACTTCCCTTCAGAAACAGTTTTTGAGTGAGATGACATATGAATTCTTTCCATAAATATTCATTACTTTGCGCAAGTGCTTGTGATAAAAAACCAAATCTCTTATTTGAGTAACTTTTTCAAAGGTGATTTACTTTTGAACAAGTTGTAAGTCAAGAACTGTTTTTGTTCTTAGATTCCTTCCTTCTCATTTGGTGCAGTTGATATATTCCAACTTCATAATCGATTTCTTGATTGAATTTCCTTTGCAAGTCTGTCGAGCACGTTTTACTTGAAGCATGGGACACATTAATTTTAAGAATGCATTTGTACAAAAAGAATATTATCAGCCACAATAGTTTTTTTAAAGTCGTGGAGAAAAAAACCCTACTAGGTTTACTGTTGTTGCAAATGAAAAAAAGAAAATTTAGTCTTGGGTGCAGTCTAAATAATGGAAATCCACTTTCTTGAATCTTTCTGTTGATTGTGGTGGAGTCTGGTTTGGTTTGAAATGGATCTACTGATAATGCTTAGCCTGGTTTGTTTGTTAAATGCTAGTAAACATACATACTGACTGACTTGCCTTGAATGGATTTTGCTCAAATTTCTTTGCAATGTATGGAGTGCATGTTCCCTCTGTATTTCTTCTTTAAGTTCCCTCTGTGAAAGTCGTAAGTATTTTGAGCTCCTGTCCGTGTAACTTCTCCTCTGATTTACCTCTATCCTTTGTATTGTTGTGTCCAGTCACGGTGATTGGCATTGAAGATGACCGCCGCCAGCTGGTTTTCATTCAGCCAGGGGCTGAGGTGCGTCTCTTCCTCTGTTTGTTAGTTGCACAGGCACTCATCTAGTGGTGTTTGCAATCTTGCTTTCACATGGTCCAAAAGCAATTTAACTAGAATGACAGATCTCAAATGGATACTTTTCTTTTCATTCAAACTTTGAACTGAGTCACACAAGCTTTTCCTATTACGTACTTATAAATTGGGGCATTAATTCTAAACAAAGAAAAAACAGTGGGTGTGGTTGGAATCGTGCAGTGTTTCTGTATCTGGAGGGTGGTCAATAAATTTTACAGTCTGGGAGGAAAAATGCATCAAGTTGTCCATCAAAGAAATACAAAGATTTATTTAAGTTAGGTAAATTTTCACCAATATTTGGGAATGAATATATCTTCGATTTCCTTTGGCTGCTTGCTACCAGGTATGTTTAGTGAATCTCTAGTCCAATCTGCAAACCAAGTAAGTAGTTGCTTACACGCAGACTCTGAGAATGCTGCTCATTAGTATTTGCTTTTGCTGGTCTGTTTATAGTGCTTTACCTATATTGCAATAAGTTTAGAGTATCAACACAAATTTAAAGGTTTTACTACTTTTGCTTTGGACAAAAAAGAGAAGTCAAGTCTTTTTTATTGAAAACTCAAGCAATTGTTGATATCCATATTCAAAAAATATAAGATACTGCTCCTTTTCACTTTTTAAACTAATGCATGCAGATACGCATTGCTGTAGCAAGTTTTTCTTGTGTTCTTCTGGTCATGTTTAATGTCTTTCCTGCAGATTCGAGAACGCAGTGCCCGAAGTGTACCTATGAAAGGTTCTATGGGTCGGTCATCATTCTCCGCCACATCTGACTCCTTGAGTGACAATGAGGGTTCTTTCTCACGTGGACCACCAACAAGGAAGTCATCTGCCCCCATTAGATCTTCCCTTACGCCAGGTAATATTTTAACCGTATTATTTTTATTGTCTGTATAGCCTTAGAACAGTTCTGTAATTACAATTCTGGGTTACAATTATGTCTTAGGTGGAAGTTTACCTGGAAGTCGAAACAACAGCAGGCCTCCCAGTAGACAGGGAAGCAAGCCTCCCAGTAGACATGGTTCAAATCTCTCCTTAGACAGCACTGGTATGCTCAAGAACTTTCTTCCAATTTTGCTTTCTCGTTAAGTTGACTGCAACTCTTCCATTACTTTTAAAATTGTGATTGTAGATGAGGGCACACCTACTCGAATTCCTATGAGACGAGTCACTTCAACACCATCCTCAGCACAACGAAAACTGACTGTTCCTATGAATGGCAGTGCTACCCGACCAAGAACTCCTACATCTGGTCTCACAAGTCCAGCAAGTGGTGCTGGGTCAAGGTTTGTGTCTATTGTCTGTTTTTTTCTTAACATCAATAACTCAAATTGCCTAACTTCATTATCTAATTTATAGCTATAATTAAATTTGCTGTTTTCTTAATGTGTTACTAACATGACAAGAAAAACAATTCTTTGAGCTTTATATAGTTTAAAACATCTAGCTTTAACTACAACAGTGTGTTTTTCATGGCCATAAAAATATTAATTTTGCTGTAATTGAATTCAATATTATGATTACAATTGCAACAAGCTTTGAATCAGTCCTAAAACCCTAGAGAGCTTTTAATTAATTAATTAATTAACATCTGCAGGTTAGGTACAATTCACCGCGCTTCAAGTATCCCCACTCTGACGGGTGTAGGATCAAGGTATGGAAAGTTAATTATTTCTAACAATGTTTTCCATCTATCAACCACTGTGTTTGGAGTCTAAGTTTCACTTAGCTACTGTTATTCCTAATGAAAGTAAAAGAAGACACTGCGGACTTCTATCATTTTACAAACTTTACTAACCCACTTTGCACCAGGGGTCCGTAACTTATCATTTAAGCTAAACGTTTGGTGATTATCTCACGTTACTGACTAGTTAAATACGAGCATATAATGACAAATTTCAGAAATGCGCAGGAGAACAAGTCATAAGATGCATAACGCCAATAACGCAAGCCGTTTACGAGATACGGATGCCTAAAATTCGCTTATTCAATAAGTTTCGGACCCCTGCTTTGCACAGTCTTCCTCGTAACTTGAACTTATACTCTGTGTTTCCATCAAACACAGTGACGTAGATGGATTTAAAAAAATTATCTT